AGAACTATTATATTATATTTTTATAGTACAGACATTTTTCATGGCTACAAAAACGGGAAAATACACAATAACATATGATACTATATAATACATTATAATTTATAATTCGGAAAAGTTTACAAAATTTTATAACAAATTAAATTAATTTTCAGAATATTAATTTTCTTTGATAAATATCAAAAAAAAATTTCATTTTTCTATAAATAAACGATAAACATGTTATTAAATAGAGACATTTCCAAAACACTTTTTTACATTTTATGTAATCTTCAGCTTCACAGACTTGTAATCTGATATAAAAAAAAAGTATACAGTAGCTACACATTTTCAAAATCTTAAGGTTGAAAAAAATTGTGAATATAAGAAAACACATTTTTTAATTGAAATTCATTAGAATTGAAGTTTTAACTCTTTGATTTGGCCACTTCATCCACTTCTTCCACAACATTCATGAACTTTCGCCATTGTTGCATGGATAAACATATTCCTATAAAGATATTAAAATATTATTGAATATATTTTACTGAAAGTTTTAATAAATCTTTTTATATTTTTTCTAATTGATTATAAATTATCAGCTGTAAAGTTTATTAAAAAATCTTTGTAAAAATATTACCTTTTTTTCCAGGTTTTAAATCACCTTCCTTGTCATAATACATCTCCCGGATATCAACATAATATTTGCCTTTGAAATTTCTCACATTTACTTGACGATTGTTGCCCAAGTCCCAAACAGTATCATCGTCAGTTTTCGCCTTCTTTGCCGGTTTCTTCTCATCTTTCGTTGCTTTATCATCCTCTCTTTCCCTCTTTTGCTTCTTCGATTTTACTTCCTATATATAAATAGAAAATAATAAATATGAAATATTTACAAAATAGATAAAAATATATGAATATAAGGTAATTATTAAATTTAGTTCATCTTCAATCTTAATAAAATTATAGGTTCAATGAGCTGAGGAGGATTAAGCTGAACAATTAGTAAAATAATACCTCTTCACTACTGCTATCATCACTGTCAGAGAGATATTCTTTTGACTTTGGCATCTTCAACTTCAAAAACGTAATAAACCTGTCCTTAAAAAAATTCAATATCACTTTTGAAAGAGATTATTAAATGAACCATCAATGTAACAAACTTTGCTATCAATTTTCATTTGCGGTGTATCTTATACAATGATATTATGCATAAATCGTCTCCTTTATCAAAAATGTTTTATAGATTTCGAAATGGTATTATTTCATGATCGTTATATATACTCATATGCAGAAATATAACCTATACTTTCCAGTCATTGTACTTTGACTAATATATATTTTTGGAACATTTATTGCTTTCAAATTTAAACTACTTTCTTAGCACGTTTGTTAAATTATGATACAGTTATAAAATCACATATAACTATGGAAAATAACATACCAATTATACTTATTGAGCGAATTGAGGTGAATTCAATCAAGTTCGTATCGTTCTTTTACGTTTCGTTTCACTAAATGGATGAACGCGAACAATTGGACAGACTCGCGTATGCGCAGTAGTGCAAGCATTAGCAGAAGCTTTTACGAATTTATGTCTACTGCACACCGGATGCGATAAGTGATTAGCAATATCCCATAAAACTTTTGTTTTTTTCTCACGTGACAATGTAAAACAGAGATCTCTCTTGGATATCGCTCATCGCTCATCGCGTCCAGTATTTTCCAAAATTTACTGCCAGTACTGAAAATCTATAGTGCACGTAACGTAAATTATAGATTTTTATTGGCAGTAAATTTTGAAAGAGCTTGTGCAATAGGCATATCTCGAGTGATTCAAGTAAAATGAAATTTATTCGCCGTTTTGCCAATAATTTTTTGCATTAAGTCTATTTTTCATTGCTACACTTTCTGAACTAGTGCACACAGTGCAATAAGTTGAATGAAACACAAGATACGTTTGTCTCACTTCAACTTATTGCGCCGATTCAGAATACAGTAATAAAAAACAGACATGTTGACAAAATATAAAAATTTTTCGAAAAATGTGGCTTTATAACACCTGTTTCTTTCCTAATCACACTCGCATATTAAAATAGTATACAAAGAAACAATGAAAAAATGAAAAAAATATTTTACTTCTAAATCTGGTTCTACACTAGTCGTATCACAGCGTCGTAAGCGTTGTGGTCCAATCAGAACCGAGTTAGCTTGACGTTGATTGGAACCGCAACGCTTGCGATACTGCGATACGACTAATGTAATATCAGTTTAAGGCCTGTTCTATAATAGATCGTAAGCAGTAAACTGTAAGAAGTTAATCAATCATAGTCGATTTATTCTTCTCACACTTAACTGTGACTGGCCAATTTCTTACAGCTTTCGACTTGCGATCCTATTGTAGAACAGACATAATGCGTCGTCTACAATGGGCAGTAGCAGTAATGGATTAAGGAATAGGCGTAGAAATCAACAAATATATATTATAGTCGAATGTGAGAAGGATAATTAACTATCATTGGTCGATTTCTACGTCTACTTCTTAATCCACTACTGCTACTGCCCATTGTAGACCATGCATAAGAATTGCTTAGAATCTGACCAGAAGAATTGTAATACTTAGAAACTTAAGTTGTAGATGTAAGTAATGCACAAGCTTTGGCATATGACATACGATATGTCTCTCTTGGAGACATTGCAATAAATTATACGTCATATGTGAAACTAGTGCGTTACTTACGTCTACAACTTAAGTCTAAATAAATGTTACAATTCTTGTGCTCAGACCCTTAAACATAATGGTGCGGCCACAATAGAAGGAATAAGAAATAAGGATTCTAATCTATCAGAAACTGTATATTCCAGTGTATCCAATATCTGATAGGTTGAAAGCCTTATTCCTTCTATTGTGGCTGCACCTTAATAAAACAAAAAAATCTTCAATCTTCAATCAATCTATAAATCCAACTTTTATTGTTTGCATTAATAATTTACTTGTGTCAAAAATTATATCATTTGTGTAACTTCTGCAAGAACAGCTAAATATTTCATTTTTTATATTTGACAATTAACTTGTTTATCTTACAATTAGCTTTACGAATAATATTTTACTGATGCAATGTACTAATATGATGTACTCAAATCTTATTTCGAAACAGTCAAAATCTTATTTTATGTAAAATGATTACTTAATTCTATGATGCACCTCATATACTATGACGCCGTAAATTAATACAGTAAAAGGTTTTATGTGTACACACATTTATTCACTTTCTTCCTTGGAACGCTCCCTATCCGAGCGTCTAGATTTCTTCTTACGCGACCGAGTTGGACTCCGTGATCTTGACTTGTGTCTACGAGATCGCGATCTTGATCGATGCCGATGTCTAAAAGTATCAAAATTGATACATATTAACATATATTATATAAAAAATATATTAGTCTGATATAAAATTTCGGAAAAAAAGATTTTTACCGATCTTTATGTCGATATTGAGACCTGGATCTATCACGCTCTCGATCCTCATCTCGCGTCATAGAGTCTCTATCGCGATCCCTCATCATGGAGTCCTTTTCTCTATCACGATCGCGATCTCTATCCTTGTCCCTATCTCTGCTCATGGAATCCAATTCCCGGTCGCGATCTCTATCTCTGTCTCGTTCCCTGTCTCTACCATCCCTCTGATCGCGCGGCTGCATCAGAGGTGGAATGTTTGTTGGTGGAACCATCGTAGGTATCGTCTTAGGTCCCATATCTTTGTCATCTTCACCTTCAGTCATCGGGATTGCCAGATTTGTTGGCTGCCATGTCTTTAAAAGAGAGAAAAATTTTTGCTTAATTTTTTCAGAGTAAGTTACTTCTTAAAATAAAATAAAATTATCTTATGTTTTGTGTGTGTGTGTGTGTGTGTGTGTGTGTGTGTGTGTG